AGCAGTGTTGCCAACTTAGCGCTTTAGTCGCTATATTTAGCCACTTTTCACACCCCTCTAGCACTTTGATTTCTAAAAAGCTCCTAGCGCCAAATCTAGAGACTTTTTTCTGCTACTGGAGACTTTGGAGACAACATCTAAAAGCAGCGAACTCTGCTCTCCAGAGCGAGTAGATTGGTAACCCCGCCTCCTGCTCTCCTCTATCTTGTCTGCTGTCATGATTCATGCAGCTATTATTTCATCCAAATGAAAAATGGAGAACAGATAAGCAGATCATGGCTTGTCTACAGTGAAAAGAAGGACTGGGTTATTTACTTTGGCCTTTTTGGAAACACAGGAAGGAGCAATCAGCTAAGTGAGCTTAGTGCTTGGAAAAAATCTTTCATTCCTTTAGAGACAGCATGAAAAGTCAGCTGAGTACAAAACATAGAGAGGAAAACAAGAAGAAAAGGGACAAGAAGAGAGGGACACAACCTAGCACAAATTATCTGTATCTGTATCATATATCTGTTTTAGTGTTGTCTTCTCAATGATCTAAAAACCATGTAAAAAACCAAACAAAAAACATTACAATATTTGATGCTGCCTGAAAAAAGTCAAAACCTGGTATTTTATTTAGACAATCTTTCTAATATTTTCTTTAAATTTGTGTTTACTCATTTGTAGAAATTGTGAAATGAAATAAGCTTATTTGGGCCCTTTTTTAATATGAAGCATAGTTTGACTTGTGGTTATGCATGTTCATGTGGATGTAGCATTAGCAACATTAGCTGTTATCCATTTTTATTTATCATTGTTTCCTGGTCTCGTACACAGCAGGTAAAAGGTTAAACAATGAGCCACATTTATCGACTCCCTGCAGGTGAGTCTCTGATTGTTGGAATGCCTTTTTTGGTGGAATAGAATGTGAACGGTGATGGCAAGGTAGACTACTATTAGCATCTTTTCACGATCATGTAAATACAGGAGGAAGACCTACATTTTTGACATACCTTTTATGTTCTCAGTAAAGAACTTAGCAAAGTCATTGCAGGCCTTTTAGATGGAAGTTCATTGGCCACGGAGATAGGAGGGTTTGTTAACCTGTCGACTGTGGTGAATAATGCACGAGAATTGTTGAACTACAGGCTCCACATAGTCTGGTTGTTCTAAGCCACACTTTTAGGCCGGACATACACTGTGCAATATTTTCAATCGTTGCACGCAGCTACAGCTCAAACTGTACGACGAAACCGCAGGATTTAAAAGTTCACAATGTGTGTTCTCACACTGTGTGACCCGATGCTCTGATGCGATCTACCTACCAAAAACCACATGTCGTACTTAGCGCCGAGAGATGATTCGTTAATCTGGATGAAGAAGAAGAGGAACTCCTTTGTTTTCACATCTGCAGTGATCGAGGTTCTGGTAAATCTGCGTCAACAGCAGGAATTGTCCACGAACATGGACGGCCGACTGAATTTTTAGACATGTTTGATACTGAGAGTGAGAGGCTGATCGCCCCCTGTTCCAATCCCCCCCCCCCTCGGACCGGTCTCGGCATGGATCAGTTTTTCAAGGGTAGTGTAAATGCATTTTTTACATTGAAGATTTTTCTTATGAACATCTTTAAAATAATAAGGAAAAAAAGCTTAGAATACTAGAAAGTTACCCTAAAAACTTTATGATTAAGTAATTCTTTCTCAAATTTCGATTTGCAGAAAGTGTTCCTTGCGTGCAACAATAGGGGAACTAATTTCCCTCCACAGTTGTGGACAACGTGACAGTTTTCAGGCAGCACTTCCTGTTTTGTCCTTAAGTCATACTCGGCGATCTCCGAGTTCTTGGGGATTTACCCTAATGACGATCTGTGTGACCTGCTCACACAACGCCATTGTGCGTCTCATTTCCCGCAAGTTTCCTCTTGATGTGTAAGCGCGATTCGACTGTTTACAGTAGCAGCCATTCAAAATGGCCCTACTCAGTCAAACGCCAGCCAAATGGCAGTCCACTTCCCTGCAACTCCAAGCGAAATCCCCTCCAACATCCAGCTACCGGAGTCATCCCCTCTTGCATAAGGATTCCACCCTTTCACTGAATTACAGGGTCTGAAAAGGAGATGATGCTTCTCTTTAAATCTTAATGTCCACAAATTAGACAATTTTTTGAATTTTTTGTTCAAATATTGATGTTTAAAGGAATTGTAGGGGACCAGCAAGGAAATTGGGGAAATTGTGACTGGCTGTCCACTGATTTTCGGTAGAATAAGATTTACCGTTGATGACTGACAGTGTAATGCAAACATTTTTAGCTCATCTGATGTCTTCAAGCAGTGAAGGTCAATGGAGCTCACTCACATTGGAAAGATGCTCCCCCTTGAGAAGAAGGTAGGATGGTCTTGCAGATCCATAGTTATTTGGAAAGTCACTTTGATGTTTCTTACCTAAATTGACAGAAAAATGGTCCACTACACCTTCAATAGGGACAACACGCCTCGCAGCCTCCAAAGGAAGCAAAAAGAAACAGGTTTAATTATACTGAATACATTATTAGAGAGAAAATAAAATACCCTCAGAAAGTTTCAATTAATGAATGAAACTTTTTGCAAAAAAATGAAGCTGTATTTGTTCTGACCGAGTGATTCAAGGGTAAAAACAAAGAGCTGTAAAGAGTATTTTTGTTTCCCTGTGTGAAACCTGCTTGATGTGATGTATGTGAGGTAGAAACATCGATAGCCACCTGTGGGGCTGATGAAGACACATAAAGGGATAAAACGAGCAGAGCTTCAGATCCTTTCCACCTGGTTGTAAAGGGGGTCACTCTATAAAGTGAAGTGTGTGATTGGAAAAAAATAAAATAAAATGCCTGGGAGATTCGGGATGGAGCTACATCCTTCCCCACCGGGGCGTCCACCAGCTGAGACCGGGCTGAGAGGAGAGCCCACGGATTGATGAATGAGGACAAGAAGGCCGAACGGACCATAAAAACGGCGCGGCGCTCCACAGGGAACCTTGTTTCCTCCGAAGTCTTTCTAATGATGGGATCTGGAGTAGGTTGGCAGAAGTTGTTCTGTGCATAGCAGTGAGCTGCAGAGCAGAGGTGAGATGGTCATGAAATATTCAAGGAGCAGATATGGAGTCAGAGGAGATCGGACTTAGACGGACATTTTAGGCGGAACGCACTCTGTGTGAGGCCCTGGCTTCCTCTTCTCTTTGAAAGCTCCATCTTTGTAATGGATGGCAGGATCTCTTGGGAGTGTCTAGACGATGGTGGGAAATCTAAATGCCTGGGAAAGCCGCTCGCATCCCTGGTAAGTAGTGTTGAGCGCGGGAAAAAAGTGCAACTCAGAGTGACAGGAAGTGAGGAAGATCCCATATTCACCCCGATTAACTCTGTCTTCACCCAAAACGCCGTTTTCATGTGTAACTGAAGGACGTTGGCAGGGTGGAGATGTGAGGATTACTGGGCCATAAATGGTGCCTGAACCTTATTTTCCATCTTTTTTCCCTCTAAACTCAGCTGCCCTCAGCAGCACAACCGTCTACACCCTCAGCACCTCTGCCTGTCTGCCCTCCACCCTCTTTTCTTCCCTCTTTCCCCTTCAGTTATTTATGAGCAGGACTTGAAATAGACTTCAGTATTTGATAAAAGCGTGATCTTTAATCTGAGTTGCCTGAGAAGTGCATTTCATTTTTATTTGCCATCACAGATTGATGGAGGAGTGTGGAGGTTATCCACTCTGTGATTGCTAATGTAAATCCATGCTGTTGTGCCGGACGTGTAGGAATTGCTGCAAAAATTCTAGTGCTACTGTGAGTTAAGATGAGCTAGTTGTGCTTTTCTAAACAAAACAGGAGATAAATTCGAGACTACAGTAAGGTTTTATGAAGGAGGCCCCTTGTGTTCAGCTTCAAACCCTGCTTATGGGTAACACACCTGAGTATATCTGCTCAGTTCATTATGGCAACATGCTCTCTAGCTGGCAAATGTTCTTTAAGATCCTACGGCAAATTAGCTCATCCCCTAGGATGCCTTTTATTGGATGATCCTGCGCCAGAGGATGCCGCAAAACCACTCTGGGCTCTCTGCAGCCTGGCCCTGCTGGCCACGGGGTTAATATTTAAAAGCGTGAGCTCCCAGTCGTGTATTGATGATATGTTTTGAAAATTGCTGATGCAGGCTCATTGTTACAGCGCTGTCTAGAAGATAGCGAGCCCTTCCTCCCCTCCCATCGCCTCCTATTCTCCAACGCTACCGCCGCCGCCATCCGTCCCTCCTTTATAGCCGCCAGATGGAAAACACACTAAAGCATGTAATGCAATATAGCTTGGCACACAGAGGCGTTTCACACCAACTTCATCTGGCCTCTGATCTGCCAATACGCATCACCTGGGGGGGAAAAAAAGGGGTGTTTTTCAACCAGAAACACTTCCGGTCACTATACGTCGACAGAGGAAGATGAAGGGAGAATTGGAGAGCTTGTGATGAAGCTCAGCAGCTAAATTTGAATATATATATATTTTGTTTTTCATTCTTGAAAACCCCCCCGAAACATTTCTTTGTCTCTCTTCTTCTGTTCGATCAACTAAAACTGCAACAACTTCAGTTCAGTTAGGAGAAAGAGGAGTGATCCGTTAGTCCTCTACCATCACCAGTACCATCCTTACCCCCCCCCCCCTGCAGAGATTTCCACCACCAGCTTCCTGCACCCCCATTTCTCTCTCTCTGTCCCTCAACCCCCTTTCTTCCCCTCCCCTTCCCCGGGACGCTGAATTTTACAGTACCGTCTGCAGGATCCCGTATTGTGCGGCGCACTCCTCTATGCAGAGCAACACAGCTCCGGTGGAGGAACGCTGGAGGCAGCTGTCAAGCGCAGGCTGCTGCTCCTGCTGCTCTAGTTGAGCCTCGGCGCCGTACCGACTGATTTCACATTCACCAATAAGAGACAGCACAGGAGCGAGAGAGAGAGAGAGAGAGAGGGAGAACGGAGGGAGGGAGGGAGAGTCTCAAAGTGAGTGGTGTGGAGAGGCAAGTGGAGTGGAAGAGTGTCAAAAGAAAAAAGAGGTTACAACACCTCCTCAGCTCTCTTTCCCTTCTCCTGTCTGCTTTTCCTTCTTTCTCGTGTTGGCTCAGAAGAGGAGGAAGAGGAGGAAGAAGGGGGCTTAAAAAATATCTGAAGAAAAAAAGGTGCTTTTAGTGAAAGAAGAAGAAGAAGAAGAGGAGGCGGAGGTGAGCCTCAAGTCGAGCCGCACTGAAGAGTTGAGAAGAGCTTTCCTCCGTGGACCAAGGACCAGTAGAGCTCTAAGTCCAAACACCTGGACCCCCCTCCCCTCCCCGTGACTCCCACACTGGCTGGACTGGTCCCGGTGCTCGGTCCCACTCTCCTGCCCTCGCCTGCCCACACCTGTCCCGCTCCAAACATGATGATGTACTTTTGGGTGAGTACTGAAGGCTGCCGGCGCCTTTTTCAGCCTGATGCTGTTCGCTGTCTGGAAAGCTGATGGCTCTTCCACTTCTGTGTGTGTTATCGATGCCATGGAGGCCTGTGTTTACGTCTCACTTTTATTCAACCCTTAAATGGGGGAAATATTGGAGCAAGTCCTGTTGCTCAACTTCGATTGACAGCAAAAGCGGCCGGCTTGGAATCTGCAGGGAGGGAGGGGGGGGTCATATTATGATCTCCAGGTCTGCCTTGGGTTCTCACATGTTGTTTTCGCTTCTCCATACATGGCAGTCGGGCTGCGTTTCATAAATTAATCGGCATTAAAACGCAGAATGAGGATGATTAGGGGATTGTTAACCAGAGCTGCTGATTAATTCTCTTTGAGATCATGTGTGATTAGTCAGATTGGTTTTGTCTCCTCGGTGGTTTGTATTCTCACCACAGTACCCGCCCAGACCTCGCTGCTTTTTCCTCTTCCATATGCCGCTAATGCTGCCTGCAGATCATTTTAATCCTCCACTGGTTTGCTAACTTGGAGTTCCTACCTTCACACAAACACAAAGCAAATGAATATTTGCAGCGTTGCCACAGTAAACAGTCTGAGCCGTAATGCAGTTATTGATGTGTCTCCTGTAGATGGTGTGTGTGTGTGGAAGTATTGATCGTGAGTTCAGATTTCTGGGGAGAGTACATCTTTTTTTGGGGAGGGGCGGTGATTTCATGTGGATGAATCCATTATATATGACTTTATACCTAAAACATTTTCTCTTACTTGTAAGTGAAAAAAAAAACAAAACAAAGGATGAATAACTAAAGTATGCCAAGCATGCAGTAGGTATTGATTCAAAGCTCAGATTTCCAGGGTAGAGAGGATGTTCTGAGGCCAAAGTTACTGTCTAGTAGACAACCGATCTGATATCTGAAGCATTTGTAAAGTTCTGGAAGTGATGGGAAGGGCTGTGATTTCCAAATCATGTCGTAACTTTAGGAAAACAATCGCAGGCTCGCTCCGAGGCCTCGCTCCAGCCTCTTTCCTGCGCCCATCGAGAGGCGCCCATCGCTGTCTCCTGGCCTAACTCACCTTTTTCCACCCACCCCCCTACCCTCCAGCAACACAGACTGATGACCAGACGCAGATGTGGGCTGAAGCAGCGATGCTGACAGTTTACAGCCCTGCAGCTTCATCAGAGGAGCATCGGGCCTCGTCAGCTCCAGTGGCTCTCCTCTCCTCACATTAAAGGAGAAGCATCTGCGACTCGTCGCATATGTTTAACTGCGGATCCATTAGCGTCACGCTGAATAAAACTCTTACTTTCTTCACTCGCTTCCTGCTTTCTTACAACTTTTTTCCCCCCGTCTTAACTCTTTCGCATTTTAAATTTGGATAAAACGTCCTTCTCACACGAAACAAAAATAGGAAACAAAAACTTTTAGTTGTCACACTGCAAAAACGATCTGGAAACGAGTAAAAATGTCTTAAAATGAGTGCATTTAGCATAATTCAAGCAATTAAATAATAAGATTTGCCAAGGGAATGAGTATTTTTACTCTTAAAATAAGATAATTAGATAATATCCACTTGGAATAAGACAACGCAATTGTTTTTTTCTTATTTTAGATGTAAATTGCCTTATTCCATTGGCAAAGTGTATCACTTAGCTGCTTAATTCAAGAAAGAAATGCTCTTTTTTAAAGAAAAATAAACTTACTTAGATTTCAATTTTTTGCAGTGCAGGTGGAGTAAAGATGAATTAGAGAAAAAAATCAGCTCTGCTACAAAACGTTAAAAACTAAAAGAGATCCAGACAACAATAATGTGACTTTATTATCAAGACTAGTGATTTAAATCAGTAAAAGAAAAGAAATAAAAGTCATAAAGAGATTTAGAGCTCACTATCAGCTTTCTGTGTGTTTATTCACAGTAAAGAAGGAAAGATGAATGTATGAGGGTACGCTGCTGCTTACTGGTAACAGGTGATCCAGTTAGCCTCTCCAGTCAGATTGATGTATGCCGTGTAAACAGCATTCTCACCTGGAATGGAGCCGTTAGAGCCCGGTTTCAAAGGTGGGACAAACAGACGGCACAAACAGTTGAGAGCCAATCAGATAACTCTTTAAATCATTTTTATTCATTTAATTTATCCAGCGGTCGGTTTTGGGTCATGATAAAGGGCATCATTAGAGCATTGCTCTGTTGCAGCTGAAACCCTGACTGTGATATTTACCAAAATGTTGCATTATGGGCCGCCTCCCATGCTGTGATTGGTCCGGTCTCACTGGAAAAAATCTAAATCTAGATAAGTCATTTTTTCTTAAAATAAGTGCATTTGTTCTTGAATTGAGGAGGAAAAAGGGACATTTTGCCAATGGAACAAGACAATTTATATTTAAAATAAGAAAACACAATTGCATTGTCTTATTTCTAGTGCATTTTATCAAATTATCTTATTTTAAGAGTAAAAATACTCATTCCATTGACAAACTATCTCGTTTACCTACTCAAATTAAGATGAAATACACTTAATTTAAGAAATCTTTACTTATATCTAGATCGTTTTTCCAGTGCTGTTGTAGACCTGAATGTATTAATCATTACACTGCAAAAAAACGAAATCTAGATGAGTAATTTTTTCTTAAAATAAGGATATTTTTCTTGGATTGAGGAGGTAAAAGAGACATTTTGCCAATGGAACAAGACAATTTACACTTAAAATAAGAAAACACAACTACATCGTCTTATTTTAAGTGCGTATTATCTAATTATCTTATTTTAAGAGTAAAAATTCTCATTCCATTGGCAAACTATCTCATTTACCTGCTCAAATTAAGGATAAATACACTTAATTTAAGACATTTTTACTTATTTCTAGATCGTTTTTGCCCCATGCCTCGCTTCATCATCTGTTTCCTAGACTTGGATAAAGTTTGTAATTTAATATGCACAGAATGCATACAGAGCAAAGTTCCATTGCATACAGCTTACAATGAGAAATAGATTGTAGGTGAAATAAATAACATTAGTAATAAGGGCAGTAGTGTTAAGATTTATCAATGCAAGGAGAAAAAATAAAAAAATGCAGAACAATCAACATTAGTAGCGCAAAAACTTATGGTGCAAAAAAGCGGCCATAAGGTTCAGTTCTGTACACCATAGAGGTTAAAAAATGACTTTATTCCAACCTTAATAGATTATTTTAAACAAATTTAACACAAAAGCTTAGACAGACGATACCTCAATACATCCATAAAACCACATATTTATGAACAAAAATCTGATTTAATGATGTTTTTTCCTCCCGTTTTATTTGAATGCTTGTGCAGAAAAACCAAATCAGGGAAGTTTTTGCAGAATGATGCTCTTTATTCAATGTATGAGAAGAATTGGTAACACTTCACAATAACCATCATTTATATACAGCAAAATGAGCATTTATTAATGGTTTTATGATGGTTTGTTAATGTTAATCATCCTAAACTGCATCTGAACCATTTATAAAAAGTAAACAGGTTACATTGCTCTGCTAACTTCAACGTCTTAAGAACTTAATAAATCATTTATTTACCTTTTATAAATGGTTTGGATGCAGTTTATAAATGATTCAAACATTAATAAACTATCTGTTAATCAATATTAAATAGTCTTTTTAGGACAAAGATGAACAAACTAAAGCGTGATTGAACCGTGTTGATGGGGGCTTGAATATTCACCCTGTACTGTAGATCAGACCCTGTGGTAGCTTAAGTTTGCATCGGCCTCCTGCTGGACAAGAAAGACAATTCATTGTTGTTGTTGAAGGACACTGTAGAAAGAGTTTAAAGAATGGGCGGCTCTAAATGGGGGCCAACAGGTGCTAGGGCCCCTATAGAACTGGCCCTTGTCATGGCTAAATACATTTTTAATTATATGCGCTGACACAGTAACCATAACTGATTAGTCCCTGTGAATAATTTCATGTATTTTTATTTTCAAATAAAAAATGAAGTTGTGAAGTTTAAAATGAAGTTTAAATGAAGTTTAAAAATGAAGTTGTCCCATTTTTAGACATATTCAGAGAGGATAGGCGTTTTTATCTGCTACATCTTAGGCGTCCTGAGCTGCAAGAGGCTCTTTAGCTCATTTAAGATTTTTGCTTCATTTATTTTATCCCCTGATAAATTTGGTTTAGAACTGATGAACTATTATAAGCGAAATCAGATTTGGTTCATACGGAGCCCCTAAAGGGACATGGAGGGGAAAAAAGAACTTTTGTGAGATCCCGCAATACTTTTGCGAGATCCCGCAATAGTTTTGTGAGATCTCGCAAAAGTATTGCAAGATCTTGCAAAAGTTTATCTTTTTCCCCCATGTCCCTTTAGGGGCTCCGTAGGTTCACATACCTGATGCTGGTAAAGATTCTCAGTCATCCAGGTCATAATCATTCTAAAACAGCAACAAAAAATCCACTGGACTTTGTTTCCAAGTTTGAAGACGTTTCTCTTCCATCCAGGAAGCCTTTTCAATTCAAAATGTCAGAAATAGCGCTGAGTTCCAGGTTTTATCCAGCAGCCCAACAAGGCCTTGTTTTTGCAAATTGAAACGGACGAACGGGTCCAACCCTTTGGAATGGGGGTCATTTTGGCTTCGTTTGTTAGCCTGCAATGTTCCATACCTGTCTATGCCTCTGAAAGGGGGTCGTTTAAGGGAATTGTTGGCCTGTCTGAATAGGCGGGGTCTTCTGCTTCCCTGTAAAGAGGTTGGGGTTGCAATGATAGTGGGTCATGTTCACAAACCTTCATAAAACACTCATAAAAACATCAATAACTTTTAAGAGAATGGTCAAATTATTAACAATGAAAGACATTAGTAATTATACAATAGTAAACAAACAAAATATTAAAAAAAGAAAGTCCAGCAGTGTGGAAATTACATGAGAGTTCAAATGCAAAACAAGACAAGATAGCAATGGCACATACTCGGGTTGTTTCTCAACCAACAAGCTCCTCCCTGAGTCAGGA